TAATTCTGAACTGAATGAGGCCTGACTCTTTGATGAAAACAAAGCTTAGCCTTTCCTTATGGTGAAGCCCATTCTGAAACAGAAGTGATTCCAGAGGTGCCTGAACTAAACAATGAAATATAATTTTCTCTCATTGTTATCTCATTTCATTTCATCCTTAAGTTAGTTAAGGTGTGGACAAGCAAGATAAGTCAGCAGTCAGATTCTTGGCTTAGAAAGTTATAGTGTTTCAAAATCATAAGTTTCACAGTCCAATCTCTTGCAGTAGCAAGGACTGATTTTAGAAAACTACTTCATAAATAGGTCCTGAAGTGTCTTGCAGCCAAGAAAAAACAATGATTTTTCTGAATCATCAAGTGCTTGGGTGGGAGAACAAGCAGAGATCATACCTGTTTCTTCATGGAGCATATATCCCTTCCTTTGGCATTTTCTCTTTCTCTGTTAGTCTCTGGCTTTACCAGGCCTAATCTTTTTTACTAGAGACCAAGTAGATGCAGCAGATGTCTCTACCTCTAAGTGGCCCCTTCTACCTACCATCATATGGTCTTGATAAGAAATCACCCTAAAAATGGACAGAAAGCAAAATAAAGTTGCAGTAGATCTGGAAACAGTTGGTGAACAAGAAGGCTAGGAGCAGAAAATCTCTCACTACATCTCTCACACACTTGACTTGATGGGTGCCAAATCTCTTTTCAGAGCTGAATTCAGTTCCAGAGAAGTTCTTGTGGCACACATTCTAGTGGTAGATGGGCCAAAAGCAAAAGGAGTGGGGACAAAAGTCATAAAAATGCCAGCATATTTTAGTTTAAAGTTCTTAGTAACCTCACTTTTGGAAATAGGTTTCAGCCTATTAAAATGGGAGGAAACTGTGCAAAAGCCAGGAGATAATCCAAAGAATGGTGACCAAGAACAAAGGAGTGGAGCCATCTAGAAAATTCTTGGAGACTAAATTGGGAACCTAGGTGTGCAAGGTTTGGCCTGCAGGTTTGAGTTTCAACACCCCTGTTCTATTTAATTTACCCTTTCAGTATTCAAGTTCCTACCTCCTCCCATCTTTGCACTCCTTTCAACCAACATCCTTATCTGACTGTGTATGATGGCATTTTTTTAAAGTTTCTGAGCAGCTGAAACAGTCTGTTTTAGCTGTTTAAATTGTTTTATGTTTTGATTTGTAAAGATTTAACATGTTTAAATAACTTACATTTTTATTTGTGGTTTGTAATTTTTATTAACTGCCCATTGGGTGGTATAGAACACAAATAAGTACATATTCAGTGACACCATATGATCCAGTGGTTGGGAAAATACAGGTCAAATACAGCTAGACATTCCACAGCTAATAGTTTTAGCAGTGACAAACAAAGCAGCCTGCACTTACCATGGGACCTGTTGCCAGTTTCCACCATTGTGTTTATCTCCTCTGGGGGACTGCCTTGGAGTCAGCAATGAGGGGAACAACAAACCACCCCTGCTCCATTGCCTCCATTATCACATATGCTCTCAGGACATGTTTAGTGAGCTTATTCAGCATTTGGGTTACAGCTGAATGCCCATGCACAACTCCTCTTGCTTCAGAGGGCTGTCTTTTGTGTCTCACACTCCACTGGGCATTTCCCTTTTTTGTCTGCTGGTTAAGACACCATCACTCCTGCCATTCAAGGCTCCTACAGGCTCCCTACAGGCTCTCCCAGCCAGTTAGGACAGAGCCTCTTCCTCTAGGTATTTCCCATTCATCTCTTCCCCAGTCAGGCAGTTTCTCCTTGGCACTGGCCTCTACCCCCTTCTCCGGGGTCTTGAACCACAAGCATTCCTGCCTGTACCCTCTTGGGAAGGCATCTGAATACCCCAGCATCCATCACCACTCATCCCTTGCTTGCTCACCTCTGACCTCCTTCCTCCATTCCTCTCACCTGCCTTCCTCTGCTCTTTTCTCCCCCACCCCCACAACTCTTGTTGCTCTTTATTTCCCTTACTCAAACTCGCTGCCCCACCTTCAACAAGCTGTTCCTCATTTCCCTGCTCATCCCAATCACCATGCCATTCTTCAGCTTGTACCTTCCCCACATATCAGTCTGTCCAGGGTTAGAGCTCAGGTGAGTCTTCACTAGCAGCCTTGCCACATTCTTTCCTCCCTGAACAGCCCCAATTTTGTAAGTAATCCAGTCAAATTCTCTGAGAACAGCATTGGAAATGAACTTGACTGGTTTGTAGACCCTTCCTCAAAGGAAAAGCAACCTTCATAAGTCTTGAAAACCTTCTCTGGTTTGACTTAAAATCTGAGACTCAGAAGAATTCCCAGTTTCCTGCCATTCAACCCCATTATTCCTCAAGAGTCACTCAAATTCACTGAAATCTCCCAAACCCTTTCTGAATTAATTCTGAACCCTAGTGGCTAGTTTGAACAGGCAGCTCACCAGCATTTAAAAAAAAGTTGGACTTCAGTCAGCCTAAAGAGTAACCAAATTCCAGTTGATCCACAACTCACCATCACTTCTGTTTGGTTTGTACTGGGTTCATCTCATCCCTGCCAATTCCCTATTTCCAAAGGAAACTTGCCTCTTTTAAAGCAAGTTGTAGGGAGGTCTAGATGGTGGCAATGAAACCCTCATCCTGAAAGGTTGGACAATCCTTAACATGCCCAGGGTATCCATTACTTCTGAGATACCTGAAAATTGAAGTTCCCAATGCCTCCTAGTTGGGTGGAATGGGCCTGGAGGCAATGGAAGAGACAGTTCACATGCATCCTCGTGACATTGTGCACCCGTGAGCACCCTCATGACTTAAGGATGAGCTCTACAAGACCTCTGATATTGACCAGCCCCCTCTCTGCAGGCACTTCCTTTTGTCGCACCATTTGCTCCACAGAACTGTGAGCAGATTTTGAAATAACTGCTGTCATATGGTCAAGGGGGAAAGGAACATCAACCCCCTCACTCCATTGCCTCCATCATTGCATGTACTCTCAGGGCATGTTTAATGGCTTTATTCAGCATTTGGATTACAGCTGAATGGCCTCATACCACTCCTATCGCTTTAGAGTGCTGTCTTCCATGCCCCACCCTTCACTAAGTGCTACTTTCTTTTGTCCCTTTTGGCTCTGGCCTCTTGGCAGAGCAGCAGAGCAGCAGAGGCAGAGGCTAGGAGAGAGAGCTGAGTGGCCAGGGGACTGGCGAAGGCAAAGTAGGAGCTGGGCAGGGGAGCAGAGGGCCAGGAGCAGCAGAGAGGAAGGGGATGGGGCCAGAGAGGCTACAGGGGCCAGGAGAAAGCAGAGGGGTGGGGCCACCAGCCTGATAGGCTTATGAGGCAACATCCCTTGTCTGCATCCCTTAGCTGTGGCCCGGGTTGTCTGGAGACTCCCTTCCCTGAGACACAGAGGTTTGATTGTTTCTTTGTTTGTTTTGTTTGTGCTGTGCTGTGCTTTGTTTTGTTTTTCTTCCAATTTAAATTTAAGTTTATTTTATCCTTGTGTGTGTGTGCGAGTGGGTTTTTGTCTGGGAGAAATGGGCGAGTGAGGGGAACTGCAGGAGAAACAAGGCAGGGGACCAAGGTAATGTCTCAGAAAGGATACCAATGGCAGACCAGGAGATGGCTTTGGCAGAAGTCACGGGTGTTGCTGTCCACTGCGAGAGCTGTGACATGTTCACCCTTCTCCCCCAGGAGAGGCAGGCATACACTTGCCCTCGGTGCAAGATGGTGACCCTGCTAGAAGAGGAGGTGAGGTGCCTGAGGGCCGAGAGAGCTGGACAGAGGGTTGAGGGAGAGGCCACGGGAGGACCAGCACGGCCTCCTCCTTCTGGCACCAATCTGGAGCTGGGAAACAGGTTCTCTCCACTTGGGGAGGCTGAGGCTGATGAGGCCTCGAGGGACCAGCAGGACCCCCAGCCTGGGACGTCAGGCAGCAAGGGGGCCACTGCAGGAGAGGCGAAGGCCAGGGCACAGCCGCCCACCAGCACTGGGAAGGTACTGTGGTGGGTGATTGTTGTTGGGGACACCCTGCTGAGGGGCACTGAGGCGGCGGTGTGCCGCCCCAACCTGGAGACAAGGGAGGTTTGCTGCCTGCTGGGCACACGCATCTGACATGTGATGAACAGAGTGGAGCATCTGTTGTAACCCTCCTCATAATCGAACATGCAGCCAGGGCATGGCTCATCACGGGTAAAAAGCATGATCAGGGTGTCCTGTTCGCGTGAGAACAAGAACAAGTTGGCCTACGCAAGGATGAAAAAAAAAAAAATGTGCATGCTACACAAGGATGAAAACAAAGCAGGCTACGCTCAAGCATAACCGCAGACGTTACGCCCTTGTACCCTCGCTTGCTTTAGCATGATAAATGTGCAAATGGGGCTCAGTGGATTTCCCCTATTGTTCGCTGTTATTCAAGCACCTGCATAGCTGTAAAAGAGTATAAAAATGCTGCCTTCCTTCTGCTCGAGACCGCACTCCAATGAGTGTTTGGTCCCTGCAGGTAATAAACTTCTTCTCTCAAAAATTCCAACTGGTCCCTGGTCTCATCCGTAAAACCGCGGCATACAACATTTGGAGGCCCCAGTGAGATCCTGAGACTATCGGTCTTGCCTCCCCCCGACACCAGGGATGGGCCCATAGGCATCTTATGCTTTACCCCGGTTCGGTGGGACGTCTGACTAGCCAAGAGAGGAGTAATCGGTAAGTGCGCACGGCGGCTACCCGCCATCTGTTCTGAATATCTGCAGATCTGGTATTGGAAAGAAAAGCCTGCTGGACGCAGCATACGGGCCACTTTCCGGTCTGGGGCGAGATGTCGCTCCCGGCCTCAGTTCCTGTTTAGATTATGCGTTTGTTTAGATTGTCCGTTCTGTTGTCTGTCTTGTTGTCGTCTGTCTTGTTGATGTTTTGTCATCTGTTTTGTTGATCTGACACTTGAGTAATCTTTTTTACAGGACTTGAAAATGGGGCAGGGCCAGTCCGTCCCGACCACCCCTTTGCAATGTCTTCTGAATAACTTTTATGATTTCTTTAAGAGGGCTTCAGGATTCGGGGTCTCCGTCAAGCCAGGGACCCTCCAGACCCTTTGTGAATTAGAGTGGACCACTTTTGACGTGGGATGGCCCTCAGAGGGCTCTTTTGATTTGATCTTGATTAGGAACATTGAGGCTGTGATCCTCGGGAGTCCCAGACACCCAGATCAGATTCCATATATAGAGACGTGGCTAGACATCGCCAAGACGAGACCTAGTTACATTAAACGGTGTCAACGGAAACTCCCAGGATCCATGTGTCCCTCCCTCCTTACGGTTAAAAAGGGTGGAGAACCCCATGTCAGATCACCCCTCACCCCCTCATCCACAAAACCCCACATCCTCACGGATGATCAGTAGGGGCCAGAAGACCCTCTGGTTACATGGACTCAGCCACCTCCCTATGCACCGAATTCCCAGGCCTCTGGGAGCCCGCCCCACACTTCCCCCAGTCCGTCCCGAACTCAGAGTGGACTTCCGTATGGCCCCCGTCCACTTGTTCCTCCGAAGTTCTCTGGCCCCGGGGGCAAGGGCGACAAACGGGTGTTGCCAGCCTCCCCCGATCCTGGCCCTGAGCCCTCCACTCTGTTGCCCCTCCAGGAGCTTGCCCCCACACAGGGGACGGACCATCTGTTTATGGTTTATGTCCCTTTCTCCACAAGTGGTCTGTATAATTGGAAGCTACAAAATCCTCCTTTCTCTGAAAAACCACAAGGCTTGATTTCGTTACTAGAAACGGTTTTTCACACCCATCGCCCTACTTGGGATGACTGCCAGCAACTCTTGCAAGTTCTTTTTACTTCTGAGGAGCGCAATCGGATTCACCTTGAGGCTCAGAAGCAGGTTCTTGGCACAGGTGGCCAACCCACCACTGACCCAGTTATTCTGGAAACAAGCCTCCCAGCCCAACAACCCAACTGGGATCCAAATACGGTTGCTGGGGAAGGAGATCTAGCCCGGTACTGCCAACTTCTTCTATAGGGGCTCCACAGCGCAGCCCGGAAGCCCACCAATTTGTCTAAAGTAAGTGAGATAGTTCAGAGCCCCCGGGAATCCCCCGCCGCTTTCTTGGAACGCCTACTTGAGGCATATAGGCAATACACACCTATAGACCCTCCGGCGGCCGAGAACATGTGGGCAATTAACATAGCATTTGTTACACAGTCAGCCCCAGACATTAGGAAAAAGATTCAAAAGCTAGACGGGTTTGAAGGGAAGAATCTCAGTGAACTAGTCGAGATAGCTCAGAAGGTTTTTAATAATTGTGAGGACCCAGAAGTTGCAGGCACAAAGAAATTGACCCAAGTCGTCTTAGCGACCATGCAGGAAACTAGCGACAGGAGTCGAGGGGCTCCACGGAGGAATGGGGGTCGCCCCCGCCTAGAAAAAGATCAATGCGCCTACTGCAAGGAGATGGGCCACTGGAAAAGCGAGTGTCCCCGTAAGAAGAAAGTGAACCCAAAAGGAAAGAGTCTCCTCACTCTTGAGGAAGACTGAAGGGGCCAGGGCTCTGTCAATTTGGGCCCCCAAGAGCCCTTGGTAACCTTAACTGTGGGGGGCCACCCAACCACCTTCCTGGTAGATACCGGGGCAGCCCACTCGGTTCTCCGGGAAGGGATCGGCCGTCTTACTGAAAAAAAGACTCAGATCATAAGGGCAACGGGGCGACCCAGGGCGTACCCTTGGACTTCAGCCCGTGTGACTGATCTGGGAAAAGGGACTATAACTCATTCCTTCTTGGTAATCCCCGAATGTCCCTTTCCCCTCCTGGGACGAGACCTCTTAAGAAAATTGCAAGCCTCGGTGTCATTCCAAGAGGACAGCACCCACCTCAGCCTGGGCTCTCCGCAGCCTGCTGCCCTTCTGCTTACCCTACCCTTGCAAGACGAGTATCTCTTCTTCAAAAGTCAGGTGCCAGAAAGCCCCTCTGAGGCCTTAAAAGAACTCCAAAAAGAGATTCCAGGAGTATGGGCCGAAAACAACCCTCCTGGTCTGGCGACTCATCAGCCACCCGTCGTGGTACAGGTCAATAGTTCAGCCACCCCGTTTCAGAAACCCCAATACCCCATTCCAGCCAGGGCGAAGTTAGGAATACGTAAGCATATACAGAGACTGTTGGAAGCAGGAATTTTAGTACCCTGCAGGTCGCCATGGAACACCCCGCTGTTACCAGTCAAGAAGCCCAGCACTGAGGACTACTGGCCAGTTCAGAACTTACGTGAGGTGAACGCCCGGGTAGAGACTGTCCACCCTACAGTGCCTAACCCATACACCCTACTCAGCCAGCTGCCACCAGACCAGGAATGGTACTCAGTCTTGGACTTAAAAGATGCTTTCTTCTGTATACCTCTGGCCCCGGTGAACCAGCCTCTGTTCGCCTTTGAGTGGACGAATCCGGACCAGGGTTTCTCTGCCGCAGGGGTTCAAGAACTCCCCTACTCTCTTTGATGAAGCTCTGAGTAGGGACCTTTTTCCCTTCCGGGAGACCCATCCCGAAGTTACCCTTTTGCAATATGTGGATGACCTGCTCTTGGCGGCAGAGTCTGCGTCTGTGTGCCTACAGGCAACTCGGGACCTCCTGACCGCTCTGGGCTCCATGGGTTATCGGGTTTCGACAAAGAAGGCACAGATCTGTAGTCAGAGGGTGACCTATCTGGGATACGATCTAAGTGGGGGAAAACGGACACTGTCGGCCAGCCGAGTCCAAGCAATCCAGAATATTCCCACGCCTACGACTAAACAACAGGTCAGAGAGTTCTTGGGCACGGTAGGGTACTGCAGGCTTTGGATCCCCGGCTTTGCTGAGATAGCGAAACCCCTCTATACCAGCACGGGAGGGAAAGGTGACTCCCTCATGTGGACTGAGATTGAGCAATCAGCGTTTCAGGCTCTTAAAAAGGCTATTACCACGGCCCCTGCTCTAGCCCTACCCGACCTTAAGAAACCCTTCCAACTCTTTGTGGCCGAGGCTCGGGGTATAGCAAAAGGGGTTTTAACCCAGACTCTCGGCCCATGGAAACGGCCGGTTGCATATTTATCGAAATGACTAGACCCAGTGGCGACGGGGTGGCCCACTTGCATGAGATCTATTGCAGCGACGGCGGTTCTGGTAAAAGAGGCCAAGAAACTGACCCTGGGCCAGGACCTCCAAGTCACTGGGGCTCATGCCGTGGAAGCCCTCCTCCGCAGTCCACCGGATCGGTGGATCTCCAACGCCTGAGTGACTCAGTACTAGGTACTTTTATTGGACCCTCCGTGGGTCACCTTTTCCAAAATGGCAGTCCTTAATCCAGCAACCTTACTGCCAGACAATCAACATGAGAGTCCCATCCATGATTGCACCGAGGTCCTGGATACGGTAACCGGGACCCGACCGGACCTGACCAACGTCCCGCTAGAGCCGCCAGCCCTCAACCTGTTTACCGATGGGAGCAGTTTCATCAGCGATGGAATCCGGTATGCGGGAGGGGCAGTAGTCAATGGCTCGGAGGTAATATGGGCCCAGTCCCTGGGGCACGGTACGTCAGCCCAGAAGGCAGAACTTATTGCCCTAACGCAGGCCCTCCGGTGGGGGAAGGGGAAGGATCTTAATGTTTACACGGACAGCCGGTATGCTTTTGCCACGGCTCATGTTCATGGAGCACTATACCAGGAACGAGGGCTGCCAACCTCTGGAGGGAAGGACATTAAGAATGCAAACAAAATTATGTCCCTCCTGGAAGCCCTCTGGCTACCCGAACGAATAGCTATAATTTATTGCCCTGGGCATCAACGGGATGGCTCGGCAGTCTCGCAGGGAAATAACTTCGCTGATAGAACCGGAAAGGAGGCTGCCTTAAGACCAGTAGGGGCTCTCAAAATTCTCTCTGTTCAGATGCTGTCACGGGCTCTCCCGGACCGACCAACCTACTCGAAGGAAGATATCGAGCTGGGCAGGAGGTTGCAGTGCTCTGAAACTGAGGCGGGATGGCTGAAACATCCCGATGGAAGAATCTTTCTCCCCCAAGCACTTGGGCGGGATCTTCTTCTACAGACCCATCGAGCCACACACTTGGGAACGGCCCGACTCTGTCAGCTATTCAGACCCCATTTCTATCTGCCCGGACTATCGACTCTGGCCGATTCCATAACCTCCGGGTGCGCCTCCTGTGCGCAAGTTAATGCTGGCCCTAGCCGGCCCTCCACCGCCCCGAGCGTTCGCCATTGCGGATCCCAGCTGGGAGAGCACTGGGAAATTGACTTCACTGAGGTAAAACCTACCCGAGGTAGGTATCGCTATTTATTGGTCTTCATCGACACCCATTCCGGGTGGGTCGAAGTGTTCCCTACGAAGGGAGAGACAGCCTTGATTGTTGCCCGGACTCTCCTACATCAAATTGTACCTCGATTTGGCGTACCTCTAGCTCTGGGTTCAGATAATGGCCCTGTGTTCATCGCCCAAACTTCCAAATTGGTAGCCAAGTCTCTAGGAATTGATTGGAAACTGCATTGTGTGTATAGGCCACAGAGCTCAGGGCAGGTAGAGAGAATGAACAGAACCTTAAAGGAAACTTTAACAAAATACGCTCTTGAAGTTGCCGGTCACTGGACGGACCTCCTTCCGTTTGCCCTCCTACACACACGATGCTCCCCTTATAGGAAGGGTTTCACTCCCTTTGAAATTGTATTTGGGCAATTGCCTCCTCTGCTTCCCCGCCTGGCGGAGGAGACGCGCACCAAGTTGTCTAACCACAACCTGCTTGAGTCCTTGCAGGCCCTCGATTGCGTCCGGCACGATATTTGCCGACAGGTTCAGTCCAACATGGGTGGGACTACTGAGGCTCCGGACCCCGCGGCTGACCCTCCCCCACACGTAAACCCGGGAGATTGGGTCTGGCTTAAGAACTTTCACCCTGTCACTCTAGGTGCCCGGTGGCTAGGACCCTTCCAGGTGATCCTCTCCACTCCCCCGGCAGTAAGACTGGCTGAAAAACCCCACTGGTTCCACGTGACACAGATAAAGGCTGCCTCGCCGGTACTCTCGGAGCAATGGACGGTACACCAAACCGGAAACCCTCTGCGGGTCAAGTTAAAAAGGGTCTCCTCCCAGCAGTCCTCCTGATTCTTCTCGCCTGCCCAGTAGGCTGTCCCCTCCCGAACCCACACCAGCCACTCACCATGGAATGGACATTGCAGACTGACAGGCCTCCCCGCCAGTAGCAACCGTCCTGACTCACACCCACAATACTTCCCCGGACTTCCGCATAGATCTCTGCCAACTATTTCCGCCCGGGTGGACTAACCCGGGCCTCTTTTCGGTGGATACGGTTGATGGGGGCCGCTGGATCTGGGGATATGGATGCGGAACTGATACCTTGGAAAGGAGACTGTCGCAGGAGCAATATTATGGCTGTCCATCGGATGGAAGCCCCGCTTGCGGTGACGCACCCAACTTCTACTGCGCCCGATGGGGTTGCAAAACTTTTGCTACATGGTTGGAAGGCCAAGATAAGGATCCTTGGCTCACGGTGAAAAGGGTGCAAGCCGGCCAGGCGGGGACCGGCTGACGTAACCCCCTGAGCCTCAAGATCAAACAAGGCAGAGAAGATTCTTGGGTAAAAGGTAAAACCTGGGGGCTGCGCTTGAATCTGTATGGTCCTTATCCGGGCATACTTTTCACGGTTCAGAAACGGGTTATCTCATGACCCTGGGGCCCGGTGGGACCCAACCAGTCTCTCCCTCGCCCTCAGACCCCCACTCACCGCATCCCTGACCCTCGCACACAGCGTGCTTCGGCCCGGGCTGCTAGCCGACCGTCATCCAGCTGCACATTTACATTAGTGTCTGCAGTTTTTGAAATCCTCAACGGGACCAACCCAAACATTACCAAAACATGTTGGTTATGCCTGAGTCCTCAGCCCCCTTTTTACACTGGAGTAGGAGTGAACGTGTCCTTTTCCGTCTTTGCTAATATCTCCTACTCGGAAAATTATGGGAGCGCCTGCCCGTGGGGGCTCCACCCCTCTATAACATTAGAAGAGTTCTCAGGTCAAGGGACCTGTGTTACGGGTCCCGGTGGGCCCCGCGATGATCCACGATGTGCTGCTACCTTACTCCTTACCCCCACAGCACGCCCCTACCTCCTAGCAGCCCCGAATGGGACTCTTTTCGCTTGCCGATCCAGCCTCACCCTGTGCATTTCCTCCACCCTTCTCCTAACACCACCCCCGCCCCCCCGGTCCTGTGGCTAAGCAAGCTCTTCAGTCGGATCTTTGTATTCTAACTTTCGTGCTTCCAAAGGTTTTTCTCGCCAACGGAGATATGACCCCCGTGGCTGCTTCCCCGGATTTGCGCTTCCGGCTCGCTGCGCCTCTCCTTGCTCCTCTTTTAGCTGGGCTGGGCATTGCAGGCTCCGCAGCTGTCAGGGCTGGTACCTTGATAAAAGGCAGCCAAGGCATATTCCACTTCTCTGAACAAATTGATAAAGAGTTGCAGGAGCTTCATGGCTCCATCAAGTTCTTGGAACAATCCCTTGACTCCCTCGCTGAGGTGGCCCTCCAAAACAGGAGAGGACTAGATTTACTTTTGCTGAAACAAGGTGGCTTATGTGCTGCCTTGGACGAGAAATGCTGCTTTTATGCAAATCATTCAGGTATCATCCGTAACAGTATAGACCTAGTCAAAGCCCGCCTGGAGGACCGGGAAAGGCGCCGCCAGGGGGGATCCAACTGGTATCAGCGCCTCTTTAACTGGTCCCCCTGGCTGACAAGTCTGCTCTCCTCCCTTGCTGGACCCCTTTTAGGGTTGTTATTTTTCCTTATTTTCGGGCCCCTCCTGCTCCGTTGGGTTACCCACCTTGTCCAGCAGCGCATTAACGCTGTGAAAGTACTGGCATTTCATGTCAGGTCTCACCTGGGCCAGGATGAGCACCATCCGCTAGCGGCTCGCTGACTCGATGATTCGATTCCCCAAGAAGACCAGTAGGGAATGTTGTAACCCCCCTCATAATCAAACATGCAGCCAGGGCATGGCTTGTCACGGGTAAAAAGCATGATCAGGGTGTCCTGTTCACGTGAGAACAAGAACAAGTTGGCCTACGCAAGGATGAAAACAAAGAATGTGCACGCTACGTAAGGATGAAAACAAAGCAGGCTACACTCAAGCATAACCGCAGACGCTACGCCCTTGTACCCTCGCTTGCTTTAGCATGATAAATGTGCAAATGGGGCTCAGTGGATTTCCCCTATTGTTTGCTGTTATTCAAGCACCTGCATAGTTGTAAAAGAGTACAAAAACGCTGCCTTCCTTCTGCTCGAGACCGCACTCCAACGAGTGTTTGGTCCCTGCAGGTAATAAACTTCTCTCGAAAATTCCAACTGGTCTCTGGTCTCATCCGTAAAACCGCGGCATACAACAGTGTCTTGTTCACTCTGGGGATCACCAGCTGCTCCTGGTGATCCATGTGGGCACAAACAATGTGGCCAGGCAGGGTGTGGTTGGGACCACCAGGGACTTTGAGGCCTTGGGGAAGAAACTCAGGGAGCTGAAGGCCCAAGTGGCCTTCTTGTCAATCTTACCTGCCTGAGGATTTGGGCCAGGAAGGGACAGGAGGGCCTCTGAGGTGAACGACTGGCTTAGGGTGTGGTGCCAGGAGGAATGCTTCGGGTTCCTCGACCTCGGCACTCGTTTTCTTGCCAGTGGACTTCTGGCAAGGGACGGGTTACACCTCACGAAGATGGGGAAAAGGTCCTTTGGAGATACTCTAGCGAGCTTCGTCCTGAAGACTTTAAACTGAGCCAAGGGGTGGTGGGTTCAGGCCCCCCAGGAACATGTCTGCACTGGACAAGTGTGGGGGGAGGATCAGGGCTCTAGGAGCAGGGTTTTAGAGATACTGCAGGGACTGAGAGGACTCCTTCAGAGAGGGGCCTGGTGTTAGGGAGGATGGGAGGAAGGAGGAGGCTGGGAACTCCAAGGAAAGGAAGAGGTGGAAAGGAGTTGAGGTGCATGTACACCAATGCTAGGAGCATGGGTAATAAGCAGGAAGGGTTTGAAGCTCTCCTGGGAATAGGAGGGTATGATCTGGTGGGAATCACAGAAACTTGGTGGGATGAAAGGCAAGTCTGGAATGTGAACATAGAAGGGTATCACCTTTTTAGAAAGGACAGGAAGGGAAAGAGAGGTGGGGGCGTGACTTTATATGTCAGGGAAGGGATAGGATGCAGTGAGATACAATGGGGATTCGGTAGAGGCAGTCTGGGTGAAACTTAGGGGTTTTGACAGGGAAAGAGACCTGACAATGGGGGTATGTTATCGTCCTCCAGGTCACCTTGAGACCCTGGATGATGTCCTGACAGGCCAGATTCTAAGGATATCTTGGGGGAGAGACACAGTAATTATGGGAGATTTCAATCTCCCAGATATTAGTTGGGAGACTCACTCGGTGGTGACAACCAGGTCACGTCGCTTCCTAGAAGCTATTGAGGGAGGGTTTTTCACACAGAGGATCTGAGAGGCGACGAGGGGGGGGGGAAACATCCTTGACTTCGTCTTGACCAATAGGGAGGAACTGATAGATGAAGCACAGATTAGGGGAGCTATGGATGCGAGTGATCACTCCATCCTTTGCTTTGAGATCAGGTGACTGTGGATGGTCAGCAGGTCGAGCACTAGAAGCTGGGACTTCAAGAGGTTCAACTTTGGCCAACTGAAGGCCAGACTGGGGAAAGTCTCCTGGGATAGGTTACTGGAAGGTAAGCGAGTTGAGGGGTGGATAGCACTCAAAAGGGAGGTTTTGGAGGCACAAGCCTTGACGATACCTCTAGTCAGTCAGGTGGGGAGGCGGAGGAGTGTGCCGCCATGGATGCAAAAGGAGGTGGTTAGAAGGATTAGACGAAAGAAGAACCTCCGTAGGAAATGGGTACTGGGGCAAATAGACAAAAGGGTATACTGGGAGGAGGAGGCCCGTTACAGAAGGATTCTTCTCAAGGCTAAGCCTGATTACGAGCTGAGACTTGCCAAGAATATCAAGAGCAATAAAAAGGGCTTCTCTCAGCATGTAAATAGGAAGAGGAAGGGGAGACAAGTGGTGGGACCATTAAATAAGGAGGAAGGCGATCCAGTGACTGATATGAGGGAACAGGCACAGATGCTAAATGACTATTTTGCCTCTGTGTTCTCCCCAAAGCAGGACGAGGGAGATCCGCATAGGAGATTAGAGGAGGCTGGGGGCTTAGGGGCACAGATTAGAGTCACCCCCCCTTGAAGTCAAGGGGCTCCTCAGAGCATTGGACATTACAAAGGCGCCAGGCCCTGACGGGTTACACCCGAGAGTACTTAGAGAGTTGGCAGGTGTTCTCTCACGCCCACTGGCCTCCATTTTTGAGACCTCATGGAGAACGAGTGACGTTCCAGGGGACTGGAGGGTGGCGTCAGTGGTCCCAGTCTTCAAAAAGGGTAGTAGAAGGGTCATGGGGAATTATAGACCGGTTAGCCTTACGTCCATTGTAGGAAAAACAATGGAAAGACTCATATTAGAGAGAGATCTAGTGATGCTAGATAGGGAAGGGAGGCTGACAGCCACACAACACGGCTTCTGCAAAAACAGGTCCTGCCAGACAAACCTTGTGGAATTCTATGACAAGGTTTCATGGTGGCTAAATGGAGGGGATGCAGTGGATGTGGTATACCTGGATTTCAGCAAGGCCTTTGACAAAGTATCCCATGATATCCTGGTGGAGAAACTGAGGAGTTTTGGGATACACCAAAGCACTGTCCGGTGGATTAGGGCATGGTTGACTGACCGAAAGCAGAAGGTAACCATTAACGGGGAATCATCGGGATGGCGGCCAGTGTCAATCGGGGTCCCCCAGGGCTCTGTCCTGGGGCCGATCCTGTTTAATCTTTTCATTAATGACATGGAAGAAGGGGTGAACACTCTGCTGATCAAATTTGCAGATGACACTAAAACTGGAGGAGTGGGCACAACTGAGGAGCAGGTACTCCAGATCCAAAAGGATCTGGACAGACTATGGAAGTGGGCAGAAGGCAACAGGATGGCGTTCAATGCGGATAAGTGCAAGATCTATTATTATTATTATTATTATTATTATTATTATTATTATTATTAGAACATTTCTATGCCGCCCCTTGCCGAAGCCTCAGGGTGGCTTACAACACAATAAAATACAATACAATGCAAAAATAACAATATAAAATTAAAATTAATAGTATAAAATAAATAAAAATATAAACGATATAAAAGGAGTTAGAAAAGTTATAAAAGAAAATAAAATAAAATAAAAGAAGTCGCCCTGGCCAGATAAATAAGTAAATATTGTTAACAATTAAAATGACGTTTAAATAAAAAGGTCTTCACCTGGCGCCGAAAAACAAATAACGACGGCGCCAGGCGGACCTCTCTGGGGAGCATATTCCATAGATTGGGCGCCACCACAGAGAAAGCCCTCCTCCGAGTACTTACCCTCCTAATTTCTTTCACGGAGGGTTCCCGGAGAAGGGCCTCTCCCGCGGAT